AAACTCCCTACTCACAGAGCTGGAGACATTGATGAGAAACGGTTCATAAATTGGGTTTCTGGGACTTTTTAATAAATGTTGACTACTGGCAGTCTTTTGAATTCTTTCCTATTACTTTACCAGACAGTTTTATAACAAATGTTAGGTTTGAGGAGGAACCAACACGGGCACGTATCTACACGGAGGAGGAGACAGGTATATATCCAGGAAAGGCGTTCTAGGTGGTCCATCTCTCCAGATAATTACAAATTTTGAGGTTTGTTGCTTCATTGAAAAGGATTGGAATGGATGGATAGTGAATACTGCCTCCAAACTAAATATGCATTAAGAAAATGTTAGCATGCCCAGAATGTATTAGTGTTCCTTCAAGTGGGTAAAATTAAGACACAATACCACACAGATTTTTCAGTATTGAAGAAAAATGCAAGGTTTTTGATCCTTCCGGTGAATTTTCAGCATGATTTTGGGGGCGAGTCTTCTTGAAAGCGCTGTCTGGATGTCAATTTTTTCCAACTTGATACTCATTTGCATGCGATATGAGTTTAAACAGTACTCTTAGTTGAATGCACGTTGGTTTACCGAAATAAATAAACGGGAAATTATGAACATCCAGTCCTTTCCTGAAAAAAAAATTCAGCCCTTGCGATGTATCTAAGAGTGCTTCTAGAGCTTCAACCTGTTAGGTTTATGTAGAAAGTTAGAATTTATTGAATGTAACAAGGATATTCTTGTTCGACTGAACAAATTTAGAAACAGGATCCCGGATCAACTGATCGGCCTCTTATGACCGCATAGCAAACATTTCCGAAAACTGTGATGGCATAGACATCGCCATTGCACTGGAACCTGCATTCAGATCAACCTGTTATCCCGTCCGGAACATGACAGATCACAAGGACAACTTTGGGTCGGGAAGATGAACATGTCGGTTAAGTTGAGCATTTGCTTAATTTTAATTAACGGCTACACGCCAAACTACTCGAGTGCGTATCGGTAAAGACGACTTATATGGCCCTCTAAACAGAGCATGAAATCAGGAACCACCCGGAATACCGATGGCTTTGCGCCCAATTTCCAGGAAAATTATGGATAAGTTAAGAGTTAGGGCTAATGACAGGGTTTAGATTAGCT